AGGCTTAAACAATAATAAAAAGCCAACAAGTCAGGCAGAAAAGATTAGTCATACCTAGTGAATATAAATCTACAAAAAAGAACTGTTTTTTTATTTTTATTTTAGACAGAGAGAGAGAGATAGGAAATCTCAAGCAGTCTCCATGCTCAGTGCAGAGCCCAACACAGGCTCAATCCCATGACCCTGGGAGAAATCATGACCTGAGCTGAAATCAAGAGTCAGGTACTCAACCAACTGAGCCACCCAGATGCTTCAACTGGATTTTTTTGTGTGGCACACACTGGAATGCATTAAATTACAAGCTGTAAATCTATATAGGGAAAGTATAAATACATATCAATTAATAGAAGTGCTCATTGATGAAGTAATTGTTCATCATAATTTATTTAATACATGTCATTCAACTAGTAATCAATGAAATTTATGAACAATAAGAAGTCAGCCACTTCCTAATATTTTTATTCCTTTTTAAGCTCTAGTGACCACCTAACTTCATAATTTTTCCTTTATAATAAAATGTTTACTAGTTATATTTTTTGAATATTATTTTTTATATATTTCTACTTGACACATGTCTAGCCTGGTAAAATTGATTTTTTCATCAAACTTTTAAAAATGTAAAGATAATTGAATTTAGTTCCTTAAAATGCCTAACAGGCCAAGTTAGAAAAATATATACTGGGAAAGCTCACTAAAATGCTACTCAAGGGTTCTTTCTAATTTCAGTTTTACAGGTGTGACTGCCTTACAATGAAGTTCTTTTTATACTTGAGGAGTCAAGACACTCTGGATGGAGTCCAAGCCTTTAAATGGATTCCACATAATAACACATTGTGTTTTCTCAGACATATAGTATAAATTCATATCTCTCTTCCAAAAGAACTTCAAAACTCTCATGAGTGAAACACTTCCAAAATTAATAACAATTTACTACAATAGGTTAACTAAGCCAGTGAAATTGTAGCATCTCTTTCTGGAAGACTTAAAGAACAGGGAAAATTCCCATTGTAAGATTTTAATATTATGTTAATAACCAAATAACACTCATTTCTGAAGGATAGCATGGGGAAAAGACAGATGGAAGTAACTCTTAATGTCTGATGGTAGGATGAGATGCAACTATCTTGGTCCAATGATTATCTAGAAAATATACTGAAGACTGAGTCATTGAGACATGTGTCATCACATCACCCCAAATAAATACAATGGCTATATATAGAATTTGATTCTGTGCTCAGCAGTGAAAGAGAAAGAAATGGATAGGAGGAAAATATTATAGTTGGCTATTGGCATATGGCCAAAGTGTGGGGAAATGCAAATGATATGCTAAGCAACTCCCTATTCTGGACCCATGTATGGTACTAAAATATGAATGGAAGGAAAAAAAAAAAAAAACATGGATTGTTTCCAGGACCATCTTGACTTCAGCTTTCTTGCTGGATCCTAAGTCCTCATCTCTGGCTTGGAAAGTGTAGACACTAAGTATAATTCATATTCATTTTACTATAGAGCTATTTATCTTTGTCTCTGCCAATTTTTCTCTAGCTTCCCCTTCATTTATTAATATCGTATCAATGTAATACTGAATTTCAGAAAACATAAACTAAAGAATTACTTTTTTAGTCTCAGCTCAATGTACTTTAAAGCCAATGCTCCTTTCCACCACTCCTTGGTCCCAACAACCTTTTTCCTAGACGTACATTTCTCATTTTTTTCAGCTTCTCCCCTACTTGTTGGAAAGTACATTGGAATTAAATATTTTTAGCTTCACGAACCCATATATTCAACCAATATTCATCAATTCCCACTCCTTCCTCTAGTTAGTAGAGAGTACGTATATCAATTGCATGTAAGGAAACTTTTTCTGTTGGCAATGCACAACTTTATAGCAGGCCCTGCCATATTCTACCTATTCACTGTTTATGTCTCAAAAGTTTGGTTACTGCTTATTCAACCAGTTGTAAGCAATATAAACTGAATCTAGAAAACTAAGAAAAAGGGGATTTATTGGAAGACTTTAGAAGCTTGGAAAATCAACAGGAAGGCTGGAGAACAAAGCAGGAATTAAGAGTTTCACATTCAAGATACAAGAAATAAAGGGAGGGGGGTGCCTGGGTGGCTTAGTCAGTTAAGCATCTGACTCTTGACTTGCTCAGGTCATGATCTTGTGGTTCTGGAGATTGAGCCCTGCATCGGGCTCTGCACTGACAGCACAGAGCCTGCTGGGATTTTCTTTCTCTCTCTCTGCCCTTCCCCTGCTTCCTCTCTCTCTCTCTCTCTCTCTCTCTCTCTCTCTCTCTCTCTCTCTGATATAAATAAATAAACACTTAAAAAGAAAAAAAGAAAGGGAGAGTCTTAGAGAGGAGGATCTTCTCAGAGAGGCATCATTGAACTAAACAGTCTCCAAAAGAGCCTAGTCTCTGTCCCTCAGCTAAAAATTCAAACTCCAAGAAGGTCATTTGTTCAGCACTGTGGAAAGAGCACCTGACTAACAAGCCCACCAAATGCAATGAAGGAAAGGAAATACTAAAAGTTTGGAAAAATTCACTATTCTTGTTTAAGTTCCTAGCACTCAAGCTGAAATGCTAGCAGCTAGTACATTAGCTACAATAGTAGAATATTGGTCATGTTTCAAAAGATCTGTCTTAGAATGGCAAGTATAGTATTTGCTCAGCCCGATCTAGCAACCAGCCCCTGTCACTAAACCAAATAAACACAGAACAGTGAATGTGCTTAAGTCACAGATTAATACAGAAATAAGAAATTGCAATTTAAAAATTAATTATTAAAAGACTTCTAAATAAAATAAGAAACAAACAACAAACTTGTTCCTACAATGTCATCTTCGCGTGGCAAAAATAATAGCATACATACATACACACACACACACACACACACACACATACACACACATATATATTATACATATAACTATGTATATTATTGTTATTACTTTATATATGCACATGTGTGTATACAGTGTCTAGTTTTATGCACTGTGACTTAGACATTTTGTATATATTACTTCATTTAATTCTCACAAAACCCTGAGTATTAATATTATTGTCACTCTAGGGGCCTGTAGGAGGCTCAGTTTGTTGAGCATCTGACTCTTGGTTTCAGCTCAGGTCATGATCTCATGGTTCAGTTCATGGGATCAAGCCCCACATCGGGCTCTGAGCTGACACCTTGGAACCTGTTTGGTATTTTCTCTCTCCCTCTTTCTCTCTCTGCCCTTCCCCAACTTGCAAGCACGTGCTCTCTCTCAAAATAAACTTTCAAAATATATATATTATTGTCACTCTAATATTATTGTCAGCCTTCAGAAGGATCATACAATTTGGTTAAAGCCTCACAGCTATCAGGCAATGTGCACACAGAGCCTGCCTCACCCTTGCACTAGGCTGCCTAGACTCAGTCACATGGATTGAGTTTTATGGGGAGCAGAAGGACAGTGTAGTAGAGACCCCAGACATGAGTTGAAACCTCAGCTTTGCCATTTACTAGATGAGGGCAAGAAGCTTAAACCTTGCTAAGCCTCAATGTCCTCATCTGTGAGATGGATAGAGGCATACCAGGGTCAGCAAGAGTTGCTGCAAGGGCACACCTTTGTTGCAAAGAGGAAAGGGAAAATGTATATAAACTACTTAGCTGTGAGCGCCTGTCACATATTAAGTGCTGAATAATTGATGGCCATTATTGGTTATATGTCTGTCTCCCTTGGTACACCAGTCCTGGAGGCCCAGGTATTACTCTTCTGATATTTGTATCCATAGCTCCTTTCTCAGTGACTGGCACATAAACAAGACCACATAAATATCTGATCAGAAAGTGTTTGAGTCAGGGTTCACGCTGACATGTTGTCTTCTAATATTATAAAATAAGCCCCTCTTCATATTAATGCTATAGCTCCTCCCTGCTCATTAAGCAAATGATGCCTATTTTCGCTCATCCCACCTCCTGCTTCCAGACTGTTGATTCATGAGGTCAAGGTCTGTGCCTCTTTCGCTCTCCATGGACCCTCAATACCTAGCATAAAGTCCAGTACATAGTAGGAGGTTAGCAAATATTTGTGAACTGAATTTTTAAGAAACATTTGTAACATGTCTTACAGTTCACCTGGCACCTCCTCATAAACATATCTCTTTGGCACCAAGCTGTCTGGGTTCAAACTCCACCTCCATTGTTTGTTAGTGGAGTGACCTTCGGTAATATACCTAAGCTTTTAATGCCTCGGTTTTCTCACCTCTAAAATGAGAATAATAGTAGTATTGGGTTGTTGTGCATATTAAAATGTTAGTTTATTAAAGCTTGTAAAACAGTATATGACATATAGTAGATGTTCTTTATACATTGGCAACGATTAATTTTTTAATTAATCACGTTTGTGGCTATTTTCTTCTCAACACACTGTCAGAAATAAATTATTCCAACTGCCTAAATCATCTGTCCTTTCACATAAGAAAATATGAAAAGTGGCATCTTTACTTCAAACTCCTAAAATTAATTTTCAGCAGAGCAAATCATAATCTCAAGAAACTGACTTCCAAAGCTATTTGCAAAAATAAATATATTTATAGAAACTGTTCTTAAAATAAAATAATCCTAAATGGTTCCAGATATTCTGAGGTTTAAAGCTCTTCCAAATCACTTGTGCTGGATCCTTCTCCCACAACATTTGGCATTATTCTTGCCACAGACAAGAACAGCTATATTGACATGAACAGCAGAGTCCATGTGAGTAAAAACACACAAGCACAACCACCAGGCAGTGGAATTAGGTCGTGCTGTCCTCTGTCTCCACCACAAACCTCATTTGTCCTATTAGGGCAAAAAGTATGTCAATCTCCCCATCACTTAGAGCATGAACCTGGTGATTTAGGCCACATATTACTTAAAAATTCAAATCACTGCATTTAACCACTGATGTTTCTCTACACTTTGGAGACATGAGGAGAAGAATAATAAAGGCAAAGAAGGTCCCTGGGAATTTCATTTACCTTCAATACTGTAATGTTCCAGGCAAAACTCTCAGTCGCCTTGTTGAGTTTTCTTCCTTTCAAGCCTTCTTTCGCCCCTAGATTATGAAGTTCCTCGTGAAATTCCATCCCTTTGAAAAGAGAACATGTAAGAATTCTTAGTATGATGCTATTTCAGAAAAACATTTTATTATGAAAAATGTTATTATTTCCCATGCCTGCCCTTCTCTTATAATTTTGAAATCCCTGAATTGAATGCTCCTTCTCATTCTGTTCATCCCCACCAATGGCTGTCTTTAGGGGCAAACTAACAATAATGGATGCATTAGACCAAATTACCTTTGAAACAGCCAGGAGGCATAGATATAGACATAAGAAGGAAGTTAAGAACCAAATTCTTCCAAGAGGGTACATATGTCTTGTTTGTCTTCTACCTGGTTTTTACATGAAACAGCGTAATGTGCAACTGATAACCGTATGTGATAGATGCACTTATTCTACTTTTCCCTATAAACCATCTCCACAGATTGACAGTAGATCCTGGAGCCCATGTGGATAACAAGGTTAACCGACAAATGTTGAGTAAAAATAAAAACATGTTTTGTAAATAGAGTTCCTGGAAATACCTAAATGTTTCATATTTGAGAATGACCTTAAAATTATGTTTAGCTCAACTATTTCTTAAGAAGCTTGAATACTATAAAAGATATAACTATCCTCAGAGATGGGAATCACACTTTCTTCTGGACAGCTTATGCCATCTTTGGAAAGCTATACCTTATGTCAAGCCAAAGTCTCTCTCCCTGGAACCTTGGTGCTAGCTAGATCCAGACCTGCTAGGTCCAACCTCTTTTCCACTGTGCAGACCTTTAAATATTTGAAGAAAGATGTTAGATAAAGTCCACTGGAGTCTTCTCTCCTCCAGACTGAACATTCTAGCACGGTTCAGCTTTACTAATAATGTCTCTTCTCTAAATATGACATCCAGGAAGATTGCATATTGCATATTGCATTGCATCCAGAAGAGCTTGTAGGAACATCATATTCAAAGTGGGCTTGAAGCAGCCCACACAAGGTAGGGTAGCAGCCCACAAGGCTGAAGTAGCCCACAACCCTCTTTATTCTAATTACTCTACTTTTATTAACGTAGCCCAAAACCACATTAACCTTCTTAGTGTTAACATCACAAATATAGCACATGGTAAGAGCATGACTGTGGAGCCGGGCTTACCCTCTGGCTCTACCACTTTACTAGCTACATAAGCATGAACAAGTCCTCTCTGTGATCCAGTTTCCTCACTGGTGAGATGGTGATAACAAGAGTGTTTACCTCAAGGGATGGTGGTGAAGATTCAATGAGTCAACACATAAAAGGCTCTCAAAGTACTGCCTCACATATAGGAGCATTATATAAGTACGTGGGATCATTTCTGTGCTTTTTGTCAACAGAAACAGTTAAGTCTGTGGACCAAGTCAGCAAACAGCACCATTTTTAAAGTCTGGTCTGGGTTCAAAGGTCAGCTCTACCTTGTGTTAATAGGCATCTTGGGTGATTCACTCAATCTCTCAGAATCTCAGATGGTTCATCTACAAATTGGATATAATGGTGATTACCTTGTAGAGTTGTTATAAGGACTAAGCAACATAGTGTATTTGCACAGTATATCATATGCCAATATATCAAGCAATTGTCATTATTGTCATCTCCTTCATCCTATTTATTGTGCGTCGGAATCAAGGAGAATATAAATCCAAGAAAGACAAAAGTATAGAATATGGATGAAGGTGAATATAAATCAACAAAGGGGTACCCTCACAGAGATGTGATCCATCCTATCCTTAAAGAAAGAATAAATTTAAAAGGATGACTAATAAATGAGGCCAAAGCCTAGAAGATTAATAGGATTATGGTTCAAATTGTAAAAATGAGGTGGTTCTTAAGGAGCAATGTGTAGTAAAAACCACAAAAGTAGATTCAGAACCCCTCACCTCTCTAGACATCTTCAGACATTACCCCCCTATATACATACAACCCACCTACTGTCACCAAGACTTCTTCTGTACTAAACAAAGACTTAAGTTTAACTCAAATTTATAGCTAAACTATGGCATAAAATATTTGAATTTTAAGAGTAAAAAGTGGAAACTTGAAAAATCTACCAAGAATTATCATTAAGTTTCTAAATGAAATGGGGCAGGAGTTGGGGGGATTACCTGCTTTCTGACACTGCACAATCTTTTCCTGGACTGTATCTGCCATTTCTATGAGAAACCGGCTCTCTTGAATCATCTGTCACAAAAATAAAAAAAGGTGGTTGTTAGCAGTCCTTAAACTGACTCATTGGAAAGACAACACACAGAGAGACTCTCCTGATGCTGGCAGTAATGGGGAATCATGGCCCTGACCACAAGAGGTAGGAGACGGAGGGATAACGTGTGCTCCAACCCCCATTCATTCTAGCACTACCACTAGAGGCACCTACCTTATAATTGCTTCAGTCACGTAACATGCTTGGCACATCATGAGTGCCAAATAAGTAATTGCTAAATAGATGTATACACATTCTTTCAGCCCCAGATCACATTCAGGAACACCTCTATTCCATCGCCTCACTCCAAACGTAACTGCAACAATAAGGCAAGTGGTACTGGAACAATAGCAACAAGAATCAGAATAAGGCATCACCTAGTAATGAGCTAAAGGACTACTGAACACATCAGTGAAGTTAGCAGCTTGGATTTGAGTGGCCCCAAAATGGTGGAGGTCTGGTCCTCCCTCTAAAAGGGCTCCAGCTCCACTGGCAAGAATGAGGAGTGGGTCAGATTTCAGAGACACCAATTATTCAACAGAGCTTGTAGGCAATAACACCAAAATGGTGTCCCTGACCTTTACATTTGGATAGAAAGCAAAAATGTCCAAGGAATAATTAATCTACTGAATGAAGTAGGGGAAATAAGACAACTATTGGAGAGATGGAGAGAAGAAAAATCTGTACGTGAAGAAGGGGGAAGATGATAATCAGTAAAGAAGTTGTGATCAGGATGACAAGGCCTGGGGGTCCCTTTGAAGAAGTGACTAAAGAAAGGCAACCAAGAGGCAAACTAACACTTCTTGAATTTCCAGCCACTCTTCTACCCCCAATAAATGCTGTCCCATCTCATCTGGCTATTCTGTGTTTTGTGTGTCTGAATATTCTGAAGGGACTTTAAGGCAGAATGCAAAGTGGACATGAAGGTCTGGGGTAAGACATCTTTCATAATTAAGTGCTGTTGAACAGATTAGTCTTGTATAATCACTGACAAATATAAAGTGGTTTATGACTACAAATTTTAAATGGAAAAGAATATTGAATCACAAATTTGTAAGCACTGTGGTAAGTACATGGGATATGATGCATTAAGGAGTAAAAACAGACACATCTCTAGCTTCATGGAGCTCAGAGTCTAGCAGGGAAGTCTACTCAAATGCATGAATGAAATGGGATAATTAATTCAACCAAACAAAATTCAATTACTCATATTTTCTGCCTAAAGTAGTAGTTGAAAGTAACTTATTTGGAGAGTTAAATTGACCATCAAAACCATAAAAATAGATACCCAAGAAGTTCTAGACTGAGTCAAACATTTTAACTGCATTAACTCTTTCAACTCTCAAAAGGAAGTGGAAAGCTAGTGAATAACAATTTACGAAATGACTAATAGTAGCCTAACTGACTAAAGCTTCCAAGTGAATGAAACTGATAAGCAGAAAAAGATTAAATATGAGGGCAATCTGATTCAGTCTTTTCTAAGCTTAGCATCCATGCATGCAACATCAATTGAGTTTTATTATACTTTCAAAAGTTATATACTGCAATAGTTAAGTAGTAGACAGAATATTTTCATGAAATTCAAGCAAGGGAAACATTCATAAATAATGGACATATTTTGTGACTTTACCATAAACAAAATAGGTAATATGATATACATTTTTAGAATCATTTAATTTTAAGACCAAAAGAATCTTAGATATCATGGCCACCCCCTTAATTTTGGTTTTAGAAAAAAAGAAGTGAAGAGTTATAGAAGTTAAGATTCTTGTCCAAAAAACAGAACTAATTAATTATCAAGCTGGAATTGAAATTGCAGTTTCCTGGCATCCACTTATTGTCATGAAAAAAATAGCACCCCTCTGATTTTGTCTGCCCTGCCCATACTCCAGGAGAGAATGCATGCCTTCAAATACTTGCAATCTTTTTGAGAATAAAATATAGCATTTCCAAAGTCACCTGGCCCAGCCTGTCAGAAAAAAAAAATGTGTGAGCATGCCCATAATCAATCCATTTCAACCAGATTCAAATTTGCCCTTTTTAAGAAAAACTCAAAAAAGTAACAGGACTGATAATTTCCTTTATTAAATCTTGATTGACATCTTACACTCATTTCCCTTGGTTTTGCTCTCAGTAGAGAACATATTCTTTGATTTTAAGAAACTATTAATTTGTGGCCAGTTTTCTTTGCAGTATTTTACTAAGTATCTCCTCAGTGTTGAGTATAAAAGGAATATAACTTCTGCATCCAAAAACACCATAGCCTCTTTGTAACAACCTGAGAAGGAAGTATCCTCTCTGTCATGGCTACCCTTCTACCTAGACTTTCAAACCCATCTCTACTGCTTCCCTCAGGAATCTGTTTCTAATGATTCCTTCTTTTTTTTTTTTCCAAAATTTCTACCTCTCTCCCGCCTTTTTCCCTTCTCCACACAACATCTCCTACTTTAAAGTAAGCAAAACAAAAACAATAATAAATATTCTATTGGCCTTTGAATGGTTGTCCTCATTAATCCTTCCTTTAAAAATTAGCCCGCATTCATTGTTTTGACTCATGCAAGACTCCACCAAGACCTTCAAAGTTTAACCTTGGCCTCATGATCAACTACACCTGGCCAATCCTTGGTCTTCATTCATTCCCAACTCAGCAGCTGACACCTCTGTTCAGCCCTCCTTCATTTCTGGGACCTTGGTTCTTTTCATGCTTTGCTCTTTCTCTGACTTCTGTACTACCTCTTTCTCTATCCATACATGTAGGAATCCTCCCAGCTGCCTGGCCTAAGCTCTCCACTGTTTCCTTTCATCGTTATCTCTCCTCTTAGCAATTCCATCCGTGCTTAGAGCTATGAAATTTGTATTCATGCAGATCCCTTCAAAGCCAACATCTTCAACGCTCAGCTCTCTCCTAAATTCCAGATTCATACCTCCAACGGTGTATAGAAGTGGTTTCCAAAGTAGGGAGGTACATGTACTCTGGGGCGGGGAGCACAAGATAATCCTTTGAGGTGTGAGGAGAAACAATGAGGACTTTTATTCACATTTATTTAACCCATAAAACTAGCAAGGAAATTAAGCTTTATAGACTGATCCTGCCCCCCTTGCGAAATCAAGATCAAGTATCTCTAAGGTGGGAACTGAGGTAAGACGAAGAAGGTAATTCCACATTAGGTAAGGGCTGACAACAGCACTCATTTATTAGTTTCTTCCAGAATATTTCAACTTACATATGGCTGTAAAGTAGTAGAGTAAGTACCACTTATATTTTCTTGTTCTAGATAAACTAAGCCTTCCAAATATGCATTCCTGAAAGGAAAATGAAGATTACATAAGCACAAGCAAAAACGTGAAGATGGCAGAGCAGCTCCTCGTTGTATTCACGCCATGATTTCTTTCTCAGCAACACTGACAAGTGATAACAATGACAGTCGGATCAGATCAACATATTCAATCACACTGGAAGAGCAAAAAGATTTATTTCTATTATTCATAAGTAAAACTTTTAAAATCCAATGCTGATTTCTATTCTTGATTTCTTTTACACTGTATGAATTGGTATGTTACTGAGTTTGTATCATTTATGAATGAATAAATTCTCAAAATATTTTTACTGAGGAGTTGCTGGGCCCTCTCTATTCGGCTCTCTAGATCCCCTCTCTGACATGCTCTGGGCTGACATGCTCTGATCTCTGTGGGCAACATCAAGCAGGCTCCCTTGCCTCTGATTCCTGTTAGGACTGGCCAATGGGACCAACCTGCAAGGGATCAGGACAGGAGGCGGGAGGAGAGAGGTTTAGGGCAGTTACTCCTTGATCATCCCTTCCCTGCCAGACTGTGGCTCCATAGCTTCCTCTATACAAGGCCACAGCTCCTGTCAAGTGGTCCCGTTCTGGCAGGTACCATATTACTGAGTGCCAGGTATGGCTCCTTCCCCTTTTCCTTTAGGTCTGCAAGTGATGACAGCTTTCTACTGTTGCTATACCTGTGGTGCTCACCGCCCACTGATGCTTTACTAACCCATACCCATACTTTTATAACCAAAGCCCTCATTTACTCATTTAGTCACCCCTTTGAGTATGCTCTCTGCAGAGAACAAATAAGGTGGAGTTGCTTACTATCAGATAGCTGTATCTGTAATTTCCAGCATTCTCTGTCTCTTCCAGACACCCAGGTTCAGATCACCAACACACTCTGCCTCACTACATCCAGAAGGTGAGCTCCCACATTCTGTCAGTCACCAAGTCTTGCCTAACCTCCCACTTTTATCCCTTTGCTTCCTTCTTTATCACAACACTCCTGGTTTAAGCCTTCATTCTCACTCTCTAGGCCATCTTTCAAATTCTAATTATCCTTCCAGAAGCAGCTCAAATGTTCTTATCCTCCATTTTACTTTCCCTGCCTCACCCCATTCCCACCTCTACTCCTGCCAAAAAGTGTAGATCTCCTATTTTCTCCAAGCGCCCAAAACTCCCTTGGAGACACTCAAAGATGGCTTTGAATCCCTCTTGGCTACTGGCAGGTTCTGGTCCTTCCCACCTCACTCCCTCCAAATATCACTTCCAGAATCATCGTCCAAAAGCATAGCACTAGCTACTTCCTAGATTTGTTATTTTCTCCTTTGCCTGTTAGATGATGTAAAATTTTCTAACTCCAAGTTTGAGTCTTCTTATTTGCCTCAGCAGCCTCTTCCCCTATGGCTTCCCAATTCTCCCAGGTCCAGGTGTGGCTCACACTTCTCCAAACACACCCCACTTATTCCTCCTTCCTCAGATTTCTTTCTATTAGGGAAGTCTTCTGAATAAGCCACCTCCCTTGGTCAAAATCCCATCAGCCTCAAAACTCACTCGAGTGCCCCCCTCTTCCACTGGTGTCCTGATTTCCCTTCCTCTCCACCTCTCACCTCCAAATCCCAAGAACATTCTATTTTGTTAGTCTGTTTACAAAATGTCTTATTTTCTATATCAAGTTACAATTAACTGCTTAC